GTGTGTGTGTACAGCATTCATTGGCAGAAACAAATACTGGGTCTTGAAAATTCAGCTAATTCCCAAAGAAATCTATTTGCCATCCTACACATTCTCCAGCAGTGGGAAGCAGAGAGTCACTGCAGCTGCACACCAAAGAGCCCTCACACAGGCCCCCTCAGGGCAAATCCTCCCAAAGGTCAGCTGCCACAAGAGCCCTGGAGAATCTCAAGAACAGGTTTGTTCATTCTTGCTCCTCAAACTGGGTAGAAGAAATGTGCCAGACTGTAGCAGGGGCCGCATGCCCAGTTTTAATCTGAGAAGCATTATAGTATAACAATAGTGTTAAACTACAAGAGACTGGTTACATATATAACAGGGAATCTATACAAGGCAACATTAGATAAAAAATTCTCAGTTGTTAAAATAACAAAAAGTGTGATAGCTGAGGCCATAGCTCAATGGCAGAGTGCATGCTTAGAATATGTAAGACCCTCAATTCAATCCCCAACCTCATCCCATGCCCCCCACTTTAAGAAAAAAAAAATTTACGTTATGTGGTTAGCAGAAACATGGGAGGCTAGGGATGGGGGGGGGACACAAAATTCTATGGTTTTAGATGAATTCAACTATGTGTAAAAACAAATTCCACACTATTCTTGTTTTATCGGTTATCGAAACATAACTATAGTATGGTCACAGGCAAACATATCAATATAACAAAAGACAAGAAGTCCAGGGGCTGGGGCTGGGGTTGTAGTTCAGCAGTAGAGCGCTCGCCTCGCATGCGTGAGGCACTGGGTTCGATCCTCAGCACCACATAAAATAAATAAATAATAAATAAAGATATTGTGTTGATCTCCAACTAAAAAAAAAAAAAAAAAGAAGACCAGATGCAGACCTAAGTGTATTCAGAACCTTAACAGGACACAGGACCAACACCATGTAACCACTGAAGCAGGGACAGGATTATGCAGTTACAGGCTGAGGTAGATGAAGGCTGCCAGTGACCTATCAGAAGCCGGGGGAGGCAAGAAAGGTTATTCCCTATAGGCTTCAGAGTGAGCATGGCCCTAATGATGCCCTGAATTTAGACTTTTGAGCTCCAGAATCCTGAGTCCATAAATTTCTGCTGTTTAAAGGTTTAAAAAAAAAATGACAACAGAAAGAATAATTTTAAAAAGAAAACAATGGACAAAGGCTATGAATCTAAAACACAAAGAAGAAAAACCTAAAAGAGCCAATATGCTAAATCCCATGAAATAATCAAGAGACTAAAATAAAACGAGGAAGCATCAGGTTAGTAAACATTAAAAATCTGAGAACATCAAGTGCTGACAATCATATAAGGAAATGGATAAAGAATGCAGAGCACAGGGCTGGGGTACACCTCACTGACAGAGCTCACAATTAGCATATATAAGGTACTAGGTTTGACTCCCAGTACAGAAAAAGAAAAAAAGAGAGACTGCAGATCACTTAGTAATTCCCACAAGTAACTCAAGATGATCTGCTGAATGATAAAACTCTACCATGATATAATGTGGCTACGTGTCGTCAAATTTTATATGAACACTACCCTATGGTGGTTACTGTTAGTTCTCTCCTGTCTATTGCTGTTAATTAAGTAACACTTATCAGTAATTGGGAATTTCAGGAGGTATCTCCTTTCAAGAGTTACAGAACTAATTAGTGCATTTTTTACTACAATAAATGAATGTTTTTAAAACTAGAATTAGCTCGTCTGTACACAGAAAATAGGAAAATGGCAGTTGACAAAGAAATTGTTAGTACATGGGAGGCTTTCTCCAGCATTCAGAGAAAAACTATTTTCACAGTTGAGAATTTGGAGGGGGTTGGAGGTATTTGGGTGTGGTGGTTCATGCCTTAAACCCAGCTACTTGGGAAAATGAGGCAGGAGAATCATAAGTTTAAGGCCAGCCTCAGCAACTTCATGACAGCCTGTCTCAAAWATAAAATTTAAAAAGATGTGGGGTTGTAGTTCAGTGAACAGAATCAGCATTCCATTTAGTTATAGTCTAGAATACTTAAACACATGCTCACACAGGGATATGTTGGAATTTTCAACACAGCGTTATGAATAATAGCAGCCGGTCACGGTAGCACATGCCTGTAATCCCAGCAACTCAGGTGGCTGAGGCAGGAGGAAGCTAAGTTTAATGCTAGCCTCAGCAACCGTGAGGTGCTAAGCAACTCAGTGACACCCTGTCTCTAAATAAAATACAAAATAGGGCTGGGGATGCAGCTTGGTGGTTAAGCACCCCTGTGTTCAACCCCCCCCCCAAATTAATAAGAGCAAAATAAAAATRTTTATAAAGCACTCCTGATGCTCAGTAATAACAGGATATATAACTAATGTGGTCTATGTATGACAGTGTATAACTATACTCCCAGCTACTCTGGAGACTGAGGCAGGAAGATCATTTAAACCCAGAAGTTCAGGGCCAGCCTAAGCCTGTCTCTTAAAAATAAAAATATGCCAGACATGGTGGTACATGTGTATAATCCCAGCAACTCAGGAGGCTGAGTCAAGAGGCAAGTTTGAGTTAGACCCTGTCAAACTAAAAAATAAGGTAAGTTAGACCCTGTCAAACTAAAACATAAGGTGGCTGAGGACACAGCTCAGTGGTAGAGCACCCCTAGGGTTCAATCCCATGTATTGCAAAAACTAGTTAAATAAAAATAATAATGTGGTACGGTATTATATTAAAAATACAAATTTACAAAGCAGCTAAAATGAATGAGATAGGTATATGTGTATTAACATAGATAGATCTCAGAAAGAGGCAAAGGACAGAATATTAAACAGTAAATTTAAAAATAATGTCTTTGGAGATAGAAATACACAGAACTACAAAAAAACACAGACTGTATACATAGATTTATTACAGAAGCTACTTAATGACAGGAGGCAGGGGTGACAGAGGTAGGAAGTACAGATGGAGAAAGACAATTAGGATTCAAAAAGAGACTGAGGGATTCAACATTACCTACATTGTTGAAAAATTTATAAGAACTAAAATATTAACATTTGCTTGAAGTGGCATTACGTGGAGTTTTATTACAGTATCCTCTATACTGTAATTTGCTATTATTATTATTTATAATGCAGAAAAAGAGGCTGAGAGGAAGCATAATAAAATGGTAAGAGTGTTCCACCCTGGTAATGAGAACAAAGATTTTTGTAGCTGCTGCTGTACTATTTCTCAATTTTTCATAATAAGCATACATTAATTTTAAAACTGGGGAAAATAATTCTGAATAGGGAAAAAACATATAGGTGGTGAGTAGATTCAATGTAGTACAGTCCTGGTTCATAAAAGGACCTGCTCCTTGAAGGTTCACATAGACATGACATTTGCCCTCTTAAGTCTATAACAAAATAACCTCTAAATCCTAGAAAACCAAAACATAAACCCATTTCAAAACTTGTACATAAATTGTACATAAAATATTAATATATGAATGGAGAAAACTTTCACCTATAAGCAAAATTTTAGTCTTTGCAAAAGGATTTTTTAAAAATGGTTCCATGATCATTATTGACTACTAATRCTTACATCATAATCTCTAATTGTACAAAAATACACAGAAAGTATGAGGAATAAATTTGATAGGTACTCCAGATTGAGTTTTTCATTATCACAATAATATTGTGTGGGAAGAATCTCAAACTGGTATACAATCAGGTAGTAATAAAAACATCAGGTGCAATGATGCATGCCTGTAATGCCAGCAACTCAGAAAGATGAGGCAGGAGGATCACAGATTCAAGACCAGCTTCAGTAATTTAGTGAGGTCTTGTTTCCTTTTCTTTTTTTTGGTACGGGGACTGAACTCGGGGGCACTCAAGCACTGAGCCACGTGCCCAGACCTATTTTGTATTTAAAAACTTAGAAGGGCTGGGGATGTAGCTCAGTGGTAAAGTGTTCCTGGGTTCAATCCCCAGTACCAAGATAATGATGATGATGATGATGATGATGATATCATCATCATCTATCATTGTATTCCATTCCATCACAAAATTGAAACTTTTGTCATACACAATGAACTCTATTCAACTAGCTTAATCTCACCAAACCGTAATCTTAACTATACAGGGAGAAACCACTAGGACTCTCATAAAATGTTATAAGATAACTTCAACTGATGGAAAACCTCCAGGGCTTAGAGGGTGAAGAAAAAGAAACAAGTGCCMGGCCCAAAGCTCATACATCGATGGCATTAGTTGTACAATTCAGCTGAATAAGGGAAATTTCAATTGACCCCCAAGTGGAAACAGTAAACAGACTCAGAAGACAAAACCATAGTGGAATAAAATAAAACACAAACAAAAATTTTAAATATTGATACTTTAAACATTGATGGTGCATGACAAGAGAATAAGTCCTATAATAACAGATTCAAGAGGTAATCACTTGTATATAAAAAATTATGTGTGATCAGACAGGGGTTGTGCTCGCCTAGCACATAGGAGGCTCTGGTTCCATCCTCAGCACCATATAAAAATAAATAAATAAAATAAAGGTATTTTGTCCAGCTACAACTAAAAAATAAATATTTTTWWAAAAATCATGTGTGATCTACAACTATATAAGTATACAGATGGAACACAGAAAACAAGCATAACAGTAAAACAGTTATGTCAGAATGGTGAATTATGTTCACCAAAATATCTTTTTTATCATTTCCTACCAACTCTGTAGATTAGTCTTCCTTATTTGTTTCAGTTCACCAAAAAAAGAGAGATAACCCAGGTAGTAACCCAGCCCAGACCAGCCCAAGTCAACCAAGTAGTAGGAACTGCTAAGAACCAGAAAGCACTCAAGTCTGTAACGTTTTCAAAATCAAACATATAACAAAGGCTGGAGATACAGCTCAGTTGGTAGAGTACTTGCCTCAYATGCACAAGGCCCTGGGTTCAATCCTCAGCACCATATTAAAAAAGAAAAAAAAAAGGTAACAAAAGGATAACCCCAAAATTTCAAAGTGCATCTTACCAACGTGATGTCTCGGGAAGCTGCAGCGGCGCTCATGTGCAAGCTAGGCTGCCTCACAGAACTGCTACAGTCCAGGGCTCTAGCAAATGTCCCAACAGCCCTGAATAAACCAACCACAAACAGGAAAGAGTAAAGCCTTTATTATTTTTTATATTTTAAAAAACACATTGTGTTATGGTTCACTATAAATATAAAATTTTGTACTTATAACTATTTAGTACCTATTAGCAATTCTCCTCTTAAGTCAGGAGAAAGGGAGCCTCTCCTAGGTGAAGTAAATTGGGCAAATAATAGATAGATAGATAGATGGATGGATAGATAAAACCACAATGCATGATGAATGAAAAATTCTAAAAGAAAGGCAAAACACATTGTTGGATGTTTAAGAATCAATTATCCCAGGAAATGGTTTTATTTGTTTCTCTTTTGTTGTTATTGTTGTTTGTTTTTCTGGTCTTGAACTCCTGGGCTCAAGTGATCCTCCTACTTCAGCCTCCCAAGTAATTGGAAATACTGGAGCATGCCACTGAGTATTTTCTTCTGTAAAATTTAATACAGGGGGCTGGGGATATAGTTCAGTTGCTAGAGTGCTTGCCTTGCATGCAACAAGGCACTGGGTTAAATCCCCAGGACCATAGAAAGAAGAAAAAAAAATGATTTAATACAGGTTGAATGTTCCAAAAATGTTCCAAAATGTTCCAAAACCCAAAACTTTGAGAGCTAACATAATCCAAGTAGAAAATCCTATGTCACGACACTTTGTTCCATGCACAAAATTATTTAAAATATTGCATAAAATTACCTTCACCAACATATATAAGGCATATCTGAAATAAAAGTAAATTTTGTGTTTGGACTTGGAACCCAGACACAAGACACTTCATTATATAATTGCAAATATTCCAACATTTAAAAAAATTATAAAATCAAGAAAAAAATTGCTGGGCTTAGTGGCACCTGCCTATAATCCCAGCAACTCAGTAATCTGAGGCAGAAGAACTGCAAGCTCAAGGCCAGCCTCAGCAACTAAGCAAGATCTTGTGTCAAAATAAAAAATTAAAAAGGACTGGGGGTGTAGCTCAGTGGTAAAATGTCCCTGGAAAAAACAAAGTAAGGGAGAGGGAAAAGAAAAGAAATGAGAAGAGCAGAGCATAGCCGATTCAAGCTGAGCAGAGCCAATATGGGCATGAAGAAGGAAAGAGAAGAACTATTAGAAAATACTATGCAGTAAACCATTTTGTGTTCATATTTGTTCAAGAAATGTAATTACCTGCAGAGTTCTGACCACTTTTTTGCCCAAATTGTGAAATCCCAGTAACATTTTTTTCCTTTAGCTATAATTAACTAAAGTATTTCTTGTATATATAATAGATTTCTACTGAATCCCATTAAGAACAACGAATTTCCACCGCACTGGTATTCACTGATGAGAAGGCCTTCCTATAGGTGAGGAACCTTAATCTCAAAAGGTGCAGCACGAAAAGAACAGGATATTCGGGGCTGGCGTTGTAGCACAGCAGTAGAGCGCTTGCCTTGCACGTGTGAGGCACTGGGTTTGATCCTCAGCACCACATAAAAAATAAATAAAATATTGTGTCCATATATAACCAAAAATGTTTTTTTTTAAAAGAAGAGGATATTCATTACTTATTGCTTGTAGTTTAAACATGGTAACTGAGGAGGCCTTAAAAAAACAATTAAACTAGAACATATGTGAAAAACTACCACAATATACAACTATTTAGTTATCACAAAGCGAACATATGCAGTTCACCAGTATCCAGGTCAAGAAATAGAAGGTGATGGGAGCCTGAAGTAGGAGGATCACAAGTTCAAGACCAGGTTAAGCAACTTGTCAAATAAAAAAGTTTGGGTATGTAGCTTTGCTCACACAGGATCACCCAGTACTGATACTTGTTACTTTATGTAAATGTCTGGCTTCTTTTGCTTAAAATGCTGTTTGTACAATTGTCCACATTGACAGGTGGAGCTATATGAATTTATTTTCCTTGCTATGGRGCATTCTTTTGATTTCCTTACCCCAACTCTACTTTATCAATCACCAACATTAGGTATTATAAAACAAATATTAAAGAAATTTTGTAAACTCCTTAGCAACCCTCATTCTGATTCAAGGGAAAAAAACATGTAGCCTTTGGTGATCAGAAAAAGGGGTGGGGGGACAATAATGCAAGTCAAATTTGTCACCTGCAATGTCTCCTAAACAATTTAGATAACTTTCTGGAGCCTCTATAAAAGGGGTTCCACTATTGATATCATTTCTATTCTTTGAACTTCAGTTTTCTCTACTCCACACACTGGCTCCTCCCAAACAATATACAAGTGTTTTAATCCAATCATTCAGTGGCCAGGCTTGTGGGCAGTGGACTCTGAATGCCAGCCAGTAGTACAGTGTGCCCTTCTACAACCAATATCTCTAAGAACAACTCTGGCTAAGGATGTGCTAAGTCTATTTTCTCCKTTGTATTATGAAAACACACACACARAAAATCAAGAATAGAATAATGAAGACCTTTAACCCCACTGTCTAGATCTAACTAATTCTAATATTTTACGATGTCTGATTCATGTTTTAAGGAAATAAATATTATAAGCTTGATTAGAGCACTCAATATACTCCCAAACCAAATATGTATATTTATGCCCATCTATGTATAATATACATCCCATTAATTAACTGAAGCACTGTTTTGCACATTCTACAACTTTTAATAAATGACCACACTGTATGCATGTATTAATAAATGATCATACTGCATGTACCTTCATTAGACATTACTTTTGAGATTTATCTCTTAGCTACTATGTAGAGCTCTAATTCACTCATTTTAATTGTTGCAAAATAGTATTCCATTCTATGAGTATACTTCAATTCGTTTATCTATTGCTTGCTGATGTACTTTTAGTTTTTGGGTTTTTTTTTCTCCAATTTAGCCACCATTATGATGCTTTGAAAATCTCATTTACTTTTTGCTTTGTGGCAATTTTCCCCATGAGCATCATTTACTTCAATAACTGAAAAAATAAAAATAAAATTCTGTTCCATTCATTTTTTCAAGAAAAGAGGAAGGGTAAGAAGAAAGTTGGCAAGACTGAAAGCTCTCAAAGCAAAGCCCTGTGCTTAGCAGCACACCTTACTCATGCATGGTTGCAAAGTACATGTTGCACATTTTAACGGAACCGGAACAATCCATTCTAGAGTAAAGCCATGTTCAGAGCAAAAGAAATCATTGCTTTCATTAAAGGTATGGGATTTCAGGTGATGAATTTCTTCTTTATACGTTTCTGTTCTCTTAAGCAATGAAAATTAATAAATCTATTTTTAAACTGAAATAAATGATAGTAAATCATATTACTCAGGAGGCAGTGTGACACACATAAAGCTTCCTTGCATAACTAGAAAAAGATTAATACAACTAATGGGGAAAAGTAAGCACATAGAAAAAAATACACATATCTATAACTTCTTTTATAAAATGAAATTTCTTGGGGCTAGGGATGTGGCTAAAGTGGTAACGCACTCGCCTGGCATGCGCGGGGCGCTGGGTTCAATCCTCAGCACCACATAAAATAAAATAAAGATGTTGTGTCCACCGAAAAGTGAAAAATTAGATATTAAAAAATTTTCTCTCTCTCTCCTCTCTCTTTAAAAAAATAAAATAAAATAAGTTTCTTTACTCAAAGATGTCATACTTACCGAGCTACTACTAAGAACTGGTCAATCTGTCGGTCTGTAAGTGGGCTATTTGGATCCCAAACTTTCATTTCCAATTTTGACTGTTCTCTCTCATCTGATTCTCCTGCCCAAGAACAAAGGAAAGAGTCTGGGTTACTCACAAAGCACACTGACACACGTGGCTGGTAACTACGCTCACAACAGCACTAGAAATGCTCCAATGTAAGGTAAATGTTCACAGTTTTAATACATTCGTTCAGACAGCAGATGAACAAAACCTGATAAAGTGAACAATGAGGATAATAAAACCAAACCAACCATCTGGTATCAGCAGTAGCATGCATTTCCTGAGCACCTGTAAGTGTGAGGCACTGAGTCCCATGCTAAGGAATATAAAGATGAAAGAGAAATCATCCCTGCCATAAGATACTTCAACTATGATAAAACATGTGCATAAATGCCTTTGATACAAATAAAAGAAACAGATGTCATAAGAGACATATTAATATGGCTTAAAGAATCCAAAGACTAGAGAAATCATGTCAGACTAGCTAGGAAACAATGTCATGAAGGGAGCGGCATTTCTGCTAAGAACTGAAAGGTTATGAAACCCTGGCAGAGGAAGAGGACTTTAAAAAACTATGAGAACGGGAACAAAGTCATGGGGTATTAAAATGTGATAGAAAAATAGCTTTTTTTGCCTGGAGAACATTAAGGGGAATGAGAAAAGATAGTCAAGAGAARGGGGGTTATGAACACATTACTGGAGATTCTACACAGATTTTCTGAACAGATTTTATTTGGAGGTAATGGGAAGCTATTGCCTATACAGGTACATGGCAGGGGTTGGGGGTGAAGGGAGACTGGTGATTGAACCCAGAGGCTCACACATGCTAGGCAAGTGCTCTACCACTGAGCTATATCCCTAACACATTTTACTTTATTTCCAGAGAGGGTCTCTTATTTCCCAAGCTGGTCTCAAATTTAAGATGCTCCTGTCTCAGCCTTCTTAGTCACTGGAATTACAGGCATGTACCACTGCACCTGGCTAAGCCTTTGTTTTTTGAGTAAGGGAAGGACAAAACCAGAACCAAACTTYAACTGTCCTAGTTAGCAATGGTACATGATTTACTCTGCACAGGTAACTGATGAGGTAAAAAAAGATGTTATCCAATCCTTTGAGTTCCACCTGCAGTTAATGAGGAGCTGAAACATGGTGCTAGAATAGCAAGAGAGAGCAAAGAGAAGATTCAGGATGCCAGTGACACATGGAGGTAGAGGTTAGATTTCAAGTCTTATGGGCTGTAAGGATAGTGCTGGCAWTGGCAGAAAGAAGGAACACAAATAGGAGGTGAAGGCCAAGGACTCATTATGGTACAAGATGCTTTAACATCTTACAGGGAGATACAACCATTGGGCAGGACTTGATGCAGAACAAAAGACGGTAAAAGGAAATAGGACAAAGGTGATGGGGCACGCCTGTAATCCTAGTGATATGGGAGGCTGAGGCAGGGAGGGGAGCAAGTTCAAGGGCAGCCCCAGCAAGTTAGCAAGACCCTGTCTCAAAATAAGAAGTACTGCAGATGTAGCTCCAGGGATAAAATGTCCCTGAGTTCAATATATATATATATATATATATATATATATATAGAGAGAGAGAGAGAGAGAGAGAGAGAGGAAGAAGAAGAAGAAGAAGAAGAAGAAGAAGAAGAAGAAGAAGAAGAAGAAGAAGAAGAAGAAGAAGAAAAGAGAAGAAAAACCACAAGAGTCAATTGGAATTTTTCTTTATGACTATGAATTCTACTGGATTAAGTAAGAGCTCTTTGCTGACAGAGACTGAGTTTGGCTTTGTTTAATTTTGATCACTGCCATGTGTAATCAGGCATCATGCCTTATACTCAGTGACATCATACCATGAAACCGAAGAGTCCCTGATGACTGACTCCTAGCACAGGAGCAAGTGGGTATCAATGGAACAGGAGAGGACAGACAAGGTGCCACTCAACCTGCAGTCTCGAATCAGCCCACTGCTGTCAGGATGTGCCACTCCCAGCACAAAGTAGGAGCAGAGCAGAGCAGAGCAAGTGCTTAGCCACAGAGRTCTAAAAAAAAATTTGAAGTTTTCATTTTTCACAGCTTTTGTTTACAAAAACCAACATTTTCCCTTTTTTTCTTTTGCCTATTTCTCTTCCTACCCTTCTTTTAATCTACAATACAGGTTCACTTTTAAAGACCAGTTAAAAACAAAAAAACTGCAAAATATGAAACTTGAGAATGGAGAACAATAAACTTCCCTATATCTTTAAAAAAAAAAAAAGTAAGAATTATTATGGCAAAAATGAAATACAGGAATGAGCTGAAGTGGTACTATTCAGTATTCAGCCCCTTCTATTATATCCTGCAAAATGTAAGGATAAGACTGATATTTACTACTGAAATTTGAGTTAGTTAAATTGATAAATTTCAACTACATCCATGAATCTATACAGTTTATATCAGAATTTATGATAAGAATTCTAAAATGAATTGCAAGCAATAAAAATACACTCCTGGATGCACTCAGATTAACACCAAACATATACACAATGCCAGAGAACAAAAAACAGCAACAAGGGCTGGGGTTGTGGCTCAGTGATAGAGTGCTCCCCTCTTATGTGGGAAGCACTACATAAAAATAAAATAAAGATGTTGTGTCCATCTACAACTAAAAAAAAAAAAAAAAAAAAGCAAAAAACTAAATAAAGAAATGCTCTATATCAAACAATGTGGATAAAATGAAAGCTTCATTTTTGATTCACCAAATAACTATATTCATATAACAGTTTGACTATTTTTTCACTGGGAAAAGCTCTTGAATGAACCTATAATTTGTATTACTAAATTTCATCTAACCTAGCAGCAATATCCGAATGGTCTATAACAGTGATGAATTTCATGCTTTGGTCATGTGCATTCTTAGCCACTGTAATAGTCCCACTTCCCTCCTGCATTTATTATAATTGAGGCCAAACACTGAACTCCTACAAATGTACCTGACAATTAACTACATCACTGTATGTAACTTCCTATTTTTGCTTCATATAATTTTGAAGAAATGTAGATAGAGAGATGATTTTAAATGTTTGTGTTATACCTCCAACTATATTTTAAAATTTCTAGAAGAGACAGAGTGCTTCCCTTAAGAGCACCTAATGGTGTTCACATACTCAGAAGAACTAAGGCTGCATCACATTTTCATTTAAGAGGCCCTTTCCTCAACAACAGGAAACGATCTTTGTTCAAACTACAGCTCATTTTCTTTGTACCAGTTAACTCAGCACTATGCTCTTATGTTATATTTAATTCAGAAATACATAAGATAAGGATGCCATTTGTTACCATTTTTGTTAAATATTTTTCTGAAAGTTCAAGCCAAAGTATAAAGATATGAAATAATGAATAGTGAGTTACTAGAAAGACATAAAAAAAAAAAACATAAAAAACTTGGTGACATTTCAAACAAAGAAAATGTTTCAAAAATGACATTTGCTATGAAAATAAAAATATACACTATCATTTTACAAAAGTATCTCACTAGATTAAATGTATAAAAATTTAGTTTCAGGAGTATATAAAATAATTTTAATGATTTCTACAAATCAAATACTTTTTTTATTAAAATAAGAAGGGAAAGGATTAACCAAACTGAATGGTGTTATAAAATACAGCAATAGTAATCAGAACGAAGTTGGGCTAGTGGTGAAGCTCTGTGGCTGAAAGCTTGCCCAGGCCCTGGGTTCAAGTCCCACTGGCCCCTTCCAAAAAAAGTGTTGATTAAAGTGCAGAAATACTTTGGGCATGGTGGCACACACCTGCAATCCCAGCAACTCAGGATGCTGAGGCAGGAAGATCACAAGTTCAAGGCCAGCATCAGCAACTTRGCGATAACGTGTCTTGAAATAAAAACCATGAACTCATGCTTTCTCCACTGAGTATATGTAGGCCCATATGTACAGGGTCAGTGAAATTAAAAACAGAATCCAAGATGCAGGGTCAACCCCTCCTTTTCAAACACYAGAGAAATGTTTTCATAGCTTCTTCATCCATAACTCAAAGCATCCCAATATGGTTTTAACATAGTAGAAAATGCCACAGATTTTGAGGCCACTAAATTGGCTGGTGTTTGCACTAGAGGAAGGCACTTCTATAGAATCTCTTCCTTTTTATCTTCTGTGGTACTGGGGATGGAATCCAGAACCTTACACATGGTTGGCAAGAGCTCTACCGCTGAGGTACATCCCCAACACTTTTTTTTAACTTTATTTTTGAGGCAGGCTCTCACAAAATTGCTGAGGCTTGCCTTAAACTTGTGTGATTCTCCTCAGGCTGGAATTTTGGCTCAGTGGTACAGTGCTTGCCTAGCACATGTGAGGCACTGGGTTCAATCAGCACAACATAAAAATGAATAAATAAAATAAAGATCTTGTGTCCATAAAATAAATAAATAAAGGTATTGTGTCTAACAACAATAACAACAACAAAAAACCCTTGTAATTCTCCTGCCCCATCTCCCAAGTAGCTGGGATTAAAGGTGTAAGGTACCATAACCAAATACCTTTTCTTCTTCTTTTTCCTCCATAAATTCTCAACTGTGAGAATGAATATTTTTCCCTGACTGGAGAAAGCCTTCCATGTACTAATATAATTTCTACTTTGTCTACTGCCATTTTCCTATTTTTTGACTACAGATGAGCTCATTCTAGTTTTAGAAACATGCATTATTGTAGTAAAAGATGCACTAATTAATTCTATAACTCAAAGAGAGATAGCGCCTGAAATTCCCAATCACTGACAAGTGTTTAAGTAACAGCAATAGACAGAGTTGGACAGGAAAGAAGTACCAGTAACAGCTACAGAGTGTTTGAGCCCTGTGCTAACTTTAACTCCATGAGAATTATTTCCTTTACTCACCAGCCACAGTGCTTTGATACACTCCATAAAGAGGAAGTTACAGGAGTTGAATCATTTCCCAAGTTTATCCAATTAAAACACATCAGCCAAGTTTTACCCAAATTTGTTAACCCAGAATAAATTCTAGTTTAATCATTTAATGTTATTATAATATTTTAAAAATTTTTAATTAAC